TGTTGATCTTCATCTTTTATCCATATTCGACTATTCACTGGATAATAGTTTCCACTCACTGTTTCAACAGCTGTATAGTTCCATGTTGGTCGATAATCTCTTTTTCGTTCAAGCACTTCACGACCATTAGCATCAGTATAATATTTCGATTGACTTTGAATATCAGTGTCATATCGAAGAATTATTTCTTTGCCGATATTATCATTAATGGGAATGGGTCCAACTGTCCATTCAACTTCAACATGTTCACCACCATCATACAAGCTGATTTCTTGACTTGCCCAATTATTAAAAGTGATTATTGCTGTTTGAACACTTTCTGCTTTTATACATGTTCTGAAATAATATTACATATTAGAAAAGAGAATAGATGATAGATCTATTTACATTGATCGTGTAGTACTGACTGGTTGTGAATCAGATGAAAGTGGGCGAAAAATATAAGCACCTGATGCTTGAAACTCTGGCCGAGAATTATTACCAGTAAAAGCTAAAATAAAACATAAACTAATGAACTATGCTTCCCTATCTTTATTATAAACGACGTACCTTGATACCAATAAAAGCCTTGACTCTTAAATTGTACACCAGTATTCTTATCTAAATTAACAATTTGATGTAGATTACCTTGATCATCAAAATGCACTCGGAGATGCTAAAAATAATAATATTCAAATTCGAAAAATGTTTATAATCTAGCTTGTCTCACTTGATTTTTTAAAGTACATTCTTCATTATGTGTGATTTTAACACTAGATTTTTCATTCCTTTCTTGATCAGCTATCAAGACAAACAAGAGTTTTCTTCTAAGAACTATTAAATAAATACCAAAACGAACTCACGTTTCTTTTCAAAATAATAAGTATTGAAACCAAGAGCTGGTAATGTAACTTTAAAGATAATTTGTTTTTGTGTTAGACTTGTACGACCGGGAATATTTTGTACTGCTTGTGATATTGGAACAAGCTATACATAGATTAAGAACAATGTCAACAATATTATTTCTCTTTTTTCGCATACTTCTGTAAAAAGAGTTACTCCTGTTGGATCACGAACTGTATAATCTGTTCTGACAGGTACCCGAATATGTTGTGTGACTTGATGAATAAGTGGATTCCATAATGTGACTGTAAACTGTTTTATAAATGAAACATCAGGAAATCAATTACAACAATGATAATAGTTTTCTTACGCGTTCTTGACCTTCAATACCCAAACATTGACTTATATTTGATAATTGACAGAGAAATTGAAATTGTATGGGTGGTGATTGACTATCTTTAGGTAAAAGTTTAGCATATGCTTGATTGATGATACCCTAAAAAAAAGTTTAATATTCAGTTTTTAAATAAAATAAAAATAAAAATCGAAAAAGCTGTACGAAGAATAAAATACGCTACATAAAGACATTCGAAGTTATCGTTTAACATACCTCTGCTGCTTGGATGCCTTCAGATAATCGTTGTGCATAATCAAAAGCAACTGCTTGTTTTTCTGTACCACTAACGGCATCATGATGTTGAGCAACACCCATGGCTTCACCTACAAATCAACATAAACAAAATGTCTCAAATCAATACACTGGAGAACTGTATCTTCTTACTTAAGGGAAAGAGAGTATTGCGTGCATTCGTATTAGCAAATGCATTGAGATGTCGTGTCACTTGTAAAATATTATTAGCATGACGTTCATAACGTTTAAAAGCAGCTCGTGATGAAAAATAGCCAGTCCAAAATCCATGTGGATGATGTGCATATGGAAAAAAGTCGTCAGTTTTCGATTTCCATGAGCGATCTGCTTTGTTCAAAGCATATAAATAACATGATGGTGTGGAATAGAAAACATTAACATTGCTACCATTTGCTTGCTAAATTTAGATTAATTTGAAAAAGTATGAAATAGCTGTATGTATAATTACCTGAGCATTAACATACTTGATCAGTTTATCCAAGTTTTTGAAATATTCATCAGCATTTTCGAAATTAAAATCATCACCGAAAGTCATAATGATATGATTAGTAGCATACCCTGCTGCCTATAAAAGAAGATCATTGATTTTCATTTAATAGTTAATTATACAAACTCAATATATCTTTCGTCGGTGGAAAAAAAACTAACTCTTGTTCATTTAAAATTTTAAATCGGGTTTTTACATATCATAATTTTTTTCTAAGATCGTGAAAGACATTTAGCTTTTTTTCATTTCATTCTTGAGTCATTAGTTCACTAGGACAAGCGATTATTTGTACACTTGCTGAATAATATCTTTAGCTTTCATAAATTCATGAAGCGTGTATAAATGTCTGTTTCTAAGATTATAAGGTATATTTATTTTCTTTACTATTCCATATGATATACGAACCTCGTCACGAGCAGCTTGAAGAAATGCTTGAACACGTTCTTGAACATTCTGATCATATAGATGATTATCATCCTAAAATAAATATGCAAATGGATATCATCTTTTTTGCTCTTTCTCTCTGCCTCTAATAGTTTACAAAAACATATTGCAGTGAAATTATTTCGATACAACAATGTTGTTAGAGAATAAACTCATCATAAGTAAAAGTGTCAGTCTTAAATCGACCTTATTTCAAGGAGTTTCTAACATCTTCTCTATACAAATTGATGTACTAGATATTGTCAACATTTTCTACTCACCATTATAGGTTGATCCCCACAACTAAAATCAAAACAGAATGAATTTGGTGCACTATATCTATTAGGTAAAATACCAGTGAATAACCAACTTTGTTCACCTGAAATATAAATGTTCTCGATTAAAATCAGATGTTTAAATTATATCTATTTATTTAAAACTCACCTAAGTTAGCACTTCCTTTCCATACCATTTCTCTAGTTTTCGTTCGATTACGTGTTTGAATATCTTCATAATCAGCACGACCAAAAAATAAACCATCAAACCCCATCTAAAATTAAATACGAAATCATTTGGTTATTAAAATAAATAAGGTTCCATAGGAAAACAAATGACGTTACTTGTGCAAAAAGTGAAGCTTGCTCACGAGAATGACCAAATGGATCAATTTGCCAACCAACTTTTGGTCGACCACATTCACCAAATTGTTCATGAAGAAACTCAGCACCTAGTGTATGCTGATCAATGATAGAGTTATAATGCGTTGATGCTTCATCATTCATACACCAACCACCAGAGATGAATTCCAGACGACCTTTTCAAATTATGTATATATTAAACAGTGTGAAGACAGAAAAGATTCTTTGAAACAAGCATACCTTGATTGACAAACTGTTTGACTTTATTACGAATGTCATCAGTTTGTTGATTCCACCAACGCCAGAAAAATCCTATTTCAACATACATGAAACGTCGATCTGGATTTTCATCAAGTGCATGAATGACTGAATCAAGTATATGTTGTACTCCGGCATATTGAATATCATTACGAGCTAAATAAAATAAAATATAACATTCTAGAAAAAATCTGATGCTCTCAAGAAAAAGGTTGCATATTTTAGTAACAATGAGTTTTCGATTCTTATTTTATTGATCAAATGTCAAAAGCCTTATCAAATTTATTATAATAATTTACATACCTCCATAATAATATTGATCAACTGTCTTGAGCCATCCAACATCATCATGTGTATGAGCAACAATGTGAACGTTTAGTTTGTTAGGATCTCCTGGGTTACATGCCTATAATATACATCATATTTAGTAGCATAAGTAGATGTATTTTTCAAATTATCTTACATCGTAACCACATGTATTGGCTGATTTAGCGGAGGCGGCGATGCAGAGAGAGCTGATAACAAGTATAAATCCGCAGTAAGTTAAGATATGCATTCTTTAAAAACCACTACTTCAAACAAATAAACAATTTCTACCTAAAACCTTGAAATAATCTTCTACACTTACAGCACGTAGTTGATATAGAGAATATGGCGACGGCTAATATGAAGATTGAATGAAAATGAATATTCGAACTAGTGTTACCAATAAATTTATATGCAAAAGATAAAATCACTTCAGTCTACTTTGCACATCAGTTAGCTTTATTATAGTCTTAGATGAGAGAAATATACAAAGAGAAAAATAGGGTAACAGTCAAAAATGTCATTTCTGAAAAGTCTTCGGACGAAATGTCCTTTGTTTTTTCGCCATCTCCTATGTATAGGCGAGGCAGAGAGAGAAGTGAAAAAATGAACACATACATGGTATTAACATCACGAACGACACTAGAGAAAAATATACGTAGAGAAGGGGCAATACTATAGATGGGGCAACTATATAGCCAAGCCGAAGGGTAGATCATGGCAGTATGTCTACTTGATTATGTGTTTGATGAAGAAGGTTTTCTTATTTGACGAAGTAGCCATAGAGAAAACAATTATGCCATGAAACAAGATTTGTTAATTTATTTTTGATTATTAGACCTTCCTATATACTATCTTTTGAAATTGTATTCAAAATAATTCTGAGAGATGAAATCGAAAATTATCAGCAAATCCAGTAGACTACAATCAACGTTCTTTTGTAGTTTATATAAAAGAAATCGATCAAATGGTATAAATTTATTTCTTGTTTGAACTTTAGATTAAAAATATGAAATATCAAATTATAAATGAAAATATTCGTTATAAATAAAAAAAATGACATGTATGTCAAATTATAATTTAGTGTCTTTTGTATCGATCATCTATTGTATTAAAACATTGAATGTTCGAATTTGCATTGGTATAAGTCTAATAGTTGTATTTGTTGCAGCGTTTTCTTCTAAAAATAAGTTACCAAAAATAGTTTCATTAAAAATAATCTATTCATTTAACAACATACCTGGAACAAATATGTGAGATGATTCTTGTTCACTCGATAACCATGTAAGTCTTTTTAGCTCCGTCAATGGTAAATTTGCAGTAAGTATCAATTCAGTAAATTCACTAATTTGTCCTATTGATTTGAATAGTGATTGTAGATCAAATGTCACTGGATG